TTTTTTTGGCGCCCGAAAATTCTTTTTCGAGTCGAAAAGGAAAAGAAAACCCAGGACCGAACCCGAAAGAAAGTTCCATTTTTAGAAGAAGAAGGATTCACGAGAGACCCATTATCGGTTCCTTTTGCCGAAACGAACCAGAGTCATCACTCGTTTTTGAGTCGGAATGAGTCCTGAAGACGAAGACGATGACCATCTTTTTGTGTTCCCTTTTTCGAAAATAAATGCCATGGGAGAAGGAAAGAGCGAGAAGAGAGAGTGAAACACCCAAGAATCAAGCTAATCTCGCTAAGAACTCGGTCCATCGTGAAACATAGTTCAATGTTTCCATTCCGCCCCCTTAGCACAAGAGGGGAGAGACTNGANAGGGCNCCNTNTCGGACGGACATGACGATGTAAAACGCACGTTAAACGGACGAAAAATGGGCGAAAAGCTGACGAAAAGCAGATAAAAAGCAGATGAAAAGCTGACGAAAATTAAACAACGATCTGAAAATGGGTAACTTCTAGCACATGAGGCAACTAGAAAATGATCTTCTATTTTACGAATTTATATTAATTAGCACAATTATGGATTTTTCATACATTCAAGACCAGAAAATTTGTCACTAATGAGACTCTAACGAGATTGAAAATTAGAAAATTACTAGGAAATAGACAATTCTAGAAAGCGGGACTTTAGCAAATGATCTTCTAGCAAGTGAGTATTTTCTCATCGAAGGCGCATGTATTTATTAAAAAAAAACAGTAGCTGTTTTCGCTGCTCAACCGACGATGCGCCTTTTAATAAATTTACGGCCGCAGACAAGAATACCATTCATTTTTTGATTTCAGCCATTCATCCACAAGCATGTGTACATCATTTAGAAAAAGAGCCTTCCGGAAACTTCTAGAATACCTTATTTATGTTTGGATTACGTTTGAATTTTTCAACGAAACTTTTCTGCAAAACTCGCTCTCCGAACTCCCAGAGAAAGATAAACCAAACATTTTTTGACTTCGTCACTTTTAACTCTTCCTTCTTCGTCTTCTTCCGTCCAGAGACTATTTTATGACCTTGGAATTTCAAAGAAAAGAGCAAAACGCTAAAACAGAAGAAGAAAGACGGAAAAGTATTCCGTTTCCAGTTGGCGGGTGTCTTCTTGTTGCAAATGAATGACGTTGGTTCAGTTTCTCGTTTCCAGGTCAAATTTTGGTTTTTTGTTTGGATCATTTTCAAGTTTGAACAGGTCAGAAGTTTTGAAAATTTGTAGTTTAGAATTTAAGAAAAAAAACCCCGAATCTTCAAAATCTGGGATCTTCCTGAATTAAGATTTATTTTCGAGATTCTGAGATTTTGAAATTTTGATATTCCCAGATTTTCAGATTTAGAGTTTTATTGATTCCGAGTTTCATAGATTTCGAGATTCCGACCTTTTTTTGATTTTGCGAATTTGAGATTCAGCGATTGTGGCAATATGGGTGGGATGATGAGTTTCTGAAATTCTGAATTCTTGAATTTCTGAATTTTTGAATCCATAATCTCAGAATTCCCTCTATAAATCATAATAATCTCAGAATCTAATCTCAGAATCTCAGAAACTCGGAATCTCAGAATCTCAGAATCTCAGACCCTCAGAATTTTAGGAATTCAGAATATTAGATTCTCAGAATCTCAGAATCTCAGAATCTATAAAATTCTAAATCTAAAATCTAATGAAATTTCCTGGTAATAATCGACACTTCCTGGATTCCGAACACCGGAAATTCGTCACCAAACTCTTTATTTTTTGAGCCTAATCTTCAATCTCTTCCTATTCAAAATTTCAGAAAAGGAAACCAAGAAACTTCCTTATATCTCATCTTTCAACTTTTCAATTCTAAACACTTCTTCATTCTTCGTTTTTCTTTTTTTCCTGTTGCAACAGGATTCCCCTAGCACAAACATCATTTCATGTCTTCCTTGGTTGCTATGTTGTACGTTTCCACGTGTTTCTCAATTCTCTTCCCACTCCTAAAATCACTTTCTTCTTCTTGGGATTCTCTCTGAAAAGAAAGAAGAAGAAGGTAGAACGCTTCTCTATTCAAACTTTAAAAGTTTTCTCATCTTTTCTTTTTGGTCTTTCTAAAACTATTTTTCATAGATTTCTTGTGAGAAGTACTTGAAATCATAAACGCTTCAATATTTGATATGGATCAGTGGAAAATGTCTTGGATTTAGTTTGGTTTACGGTGGACAATCGTATTATCAATTTATAGTTTTTTTTGTTTGAAAAGGCTAGAATATCTTGAATCTTTTGAAAGTGTCATTTTTATCAATACAGTACTTGCTAATAGAAGCCCACCCACACCGTCAACTTTGACCTCAATTAACTCAATGCCTGTGAAAGATATCAAAAAGTAGTCAACTGATAAAATGTTTGTCATAATATCACCAGTGTTTCAGTAGTTGAC